ATATATTCCCCTAACAGAGTATGAAATCTGTGTGGTTTCAGGTATTGAAGCTGAAAGATCAACTTTCTGAGGCGGAGAAGGAGATCCAGAGGCTGTTGGAGAGTGGTGATAGAGTTCCGAGTAACAGCTCTAGCTCGTCACAGTCACAGTCACAGTCACAATCACAATCACAATCTATGGAAGCGGTGGACCCAGCATTCTTCGGGGTGTTCGGAGTTGATGGGTATGATGATGATGTGTTTTACGGGCCCGAGACTCACTGCATGAACGCCTTGGAATGGATTAATCTGTATATGTAAACAAATAGGAGTTTAGAATTATGTAGATAATGTGAATGATCCAATGTATATTGTTCCTAGCTAGGTAGCTAAGTGTGTTTGTTTGACTATGGTTTGGAATTGGAAAGTATCCATTAACATAATATTTTGCATTTTGACCCAAAATTCTCCTGCTATATATTTTCCTTTCTCTGCAACCTTAGTTCGCGTCAGCTACGAAGACATAGTGCTTCCGTCTGTTTCTTAATTTTGTAACAGAATAATAATTTACCTCCCCAAAGCTGCATTTCATATATTGTTCTTGAAAAATATTTTTTAACAACTTTTTTTTCTTACAATATTTTTATAATAATTTATGTGATAATAAGTGATTATTCTGTTCTTAATATACAAATCAATCAAATAATAACGTATAATTTATTCTCAAAAAATTGTTAAAATAGTTTGGTTGTTTGTTTTTTTAGAAAGAGAAGATCATACACAAACTTATAAAATAAAAAGAACAAAGACAAACTATACATTGGAGTAATATATTAAATATTAACCCTTCCCATCCCAATATTGGTTTTATTTTTCTTCTTCTTTCGTTTTCCCCCTTACATAAAACGTTGCTAATTGCATGCACATCTCAACATTTAATTATCTAATTTGTAAACGAGTGATGTTTGATCTTGTATAAAATATGAGTAAAACTTTTACTGGTAAGTTGTACAAATTTGACGTAGAGTGACTCCTTTTCTTTTGATTTATTTATCTTAAAGTCTTATTTGGAAATTTTATTCCTTTTGAGTGCAGGAGACTGTTTTATTTTATATCTAAACTTTGGATGTTGTATGAACATCTCATTTCCCCTTTTCACATTCTTCTTTATGTTTTTCTATTATAAAATAAATTTTAAATCTAATTCAATTTTATAAAATTTAATATAATAAAATTTGTATTAACCTTTATATTTATATATATATATATATATATATATATATATATATATAAAGATTGATCTAATGGTAAAACTTACTAGAGATAATGACAAAGATTACAAATTTAACTCTTTCACTAAGATTTAAAATAAATAAAGTTGATTGAAAGGATTTGCAAAGAAGGTTGAAAAGATTGTAAATTTAACTCCTTTCCTAGAAAAAACTAACAACTATAATTTGCTATACTTTTATTTCTAGTTAATTACGTAACCTAACGAGGATAATGGAAAAACATGATCATGGAAGTCTATCTACTTTGAAACAATCGTTCAGTCATTTTCTTTTTCCTCTTCTGTCCTAATTTCTACACTTCTATGCTTACTAATTATATAATACTAAGCAAATCACCTGAATAACTGTATTATATCTTAATAGCTTGAATAATGTATGACAAATACACAAATAACTCCTTCTTTAAGATTGTCTGATATAAAATTTATTCTTAAATAATAAAAATATTGTCTGATAACAAATTTAATACATACAAAAAGTTTATTGTAAATATTGTAGTTGGTATTTATAAAAATGATTTGAGTACATACATACATGTGTATAGAAGAGAAACCTTCCTTGATGATTAAGATTCTCTGTTGCAGCGGATGTCTCCAAGGTCAGTGACAAAACCTCTCTGTCATCAGCTTCTTCATACATCTTATCATGTTCTTCCTGCACCCTACCATTTCCGGAATTTATTTTCCGGAACACAATTCTTTTACGAAAAATGCTTTCCAGAAACTTTTTGATGGGATGGGATAAAAATTTGACGAGGTACAGGAAGTAATTGCAACCAATCTCAGATTTAGTGGACCAGCGTAGTGACGTACTTTTTTATAAGTGGCCCAATCTTACTATATATTGGGTTCTTTTAAGGGTGTTGCTCCTTCCACCACCACCCTATACTTTCTCCACCTCCCCATATTATTTTAAATACAATTATATCCTTAAGTTAAAAAGATTTTTACTTTTATCCTATTTTAAATAATTTGAAACTCTAATTGTACTTTCCCAGCACCTACCCACGGAACTCTCTTTCTCTTTTTCCATTTTCGTTTCACCTCCTCACCTCCCGCACTTCCATTCCTTTTTCTTCCCAGTTTTTTTTTGTTTGAAAGTTTCCATTGTCGTCGTGGTGTGAAGGAGCGTCGTCGCCGTGGTGTGAAAGAGCGTCGTCGCCGTGGTGTGGAGGAATATCGAGGAGCGTCCAGAGCATCAACCAGCATGAGGAAGTATACATCAACGGAGGTGACATCCTTCAACGGATGTCCCCTAATAAAAAAAACTCTAAAATAAAAAAAGTAACCTTTAAACGGAGGTTACATCTTCAACAGATGTCAACATCCGTTTAAGGTAAAACGAATGTCGACATCCGTTTTTCCTTAAACGAATGTTGACATCCGTTGAAGGATGTCACCTCCTTTTAAAGGTTACGTTTTTTATTTTAGAGTTTTATTTCAAGGTTTATTCGAATACGAGGAAGCATGACACGCACTGCACCACTCCACGCGCTGCACCACGAGAGCGATACTGCACCACGAGAGGGAGACTGCTTGGTAATTCTTTCCACCACCACCAACCTTTGCAACTTGTAGTATCTTACAACGATGACGAAAGAAAGAGAGGAAGAAATATAATGTTAAAATGAAAGAAAAGTATGCACCATGAGAGGGAGACTGCTTGATAATTCTTTCCACCACCACCAACCTTTGCAACTTGTAGTATCTCACAACGACACGAAAGAAAGAGAGGAAGAAATATAATGTTAAAATGAAAGAAAAGTATTTTACTCATGTACGGGACTAAAATAGGTTATTAGTAAAATAGGTTGTGAATGAGTAAAATTAAAAAATAATAACCCTAAAAATAAAATTTTACTGAGGGACAAAATAGTAAAGGGGAGGTGGAGGGAGAAAGGTATGGTGGTGGAGGGAGCAACACCCATTCTTTTAATGGCTTTCTTCCAAGTTGTGTCACATCTATACGTCCAAGATCTCATTCTGCACCTCCAAAAATAAAATTTTTAACCTTCTGAAATTTCATCATTATCTTATACTATAACTTTATAAAATAATTTATTTTTAATTTTAATAAATATATTTTTATTTTCTTCTTTTTCTTGTTAAAAAAATTCTACACCACCTTCATAATAACTAAATTTAAGATTCAAATATTTTTTAATATAATTTTATATTTTAATAATTATTAAAATATGATTTATGTTATAATAATAATTATTATAAAAATATAAAAATAAAATAATTAAAATAAAAATAATAACAATAAAAATAAAATTATATTAAATAAAATATTTAATATATTCAAATATATTAAATTATATTAAAATATTAAATTAAATTAAATAATTATTAAAATTTAAATAAAAAATAAAATTTTAAAATAATTATTTATCAAATAATAAATAAAATTATATTAAATAAAATATTTAAATATATTAAATTATATTAAAATATTAAATTAAATTAAATAATTATTAAAANAAGAAGGAGTTATTTGTGTATTTGTCATACATTATTCAAGCTATTAAGATATAATACAGTTATTCAGGTGATTTGCTTAGTATTATATAATTAGTAAGCATAGAAGTGTAGAAATTAGGACAGAAGAGGAAAAAGAAAATGACTGAACGATTGTTTCAAAGTAGATAGACTTCCATGATCATGTTTTTCCATTATCCTCGTTAGGTTACGTAATTAACTAGAAATAAAAGTATAGCAAATTATAGTTGTTAGTTTTTTCTAGGAAAGGAGTTAAATTTACAATCTTTTCAACCTTCTTTGCAAATCCTTTCAATCAACTTTATTTATTTTAAATCTTAGTGAAAGAGTTAAATTTGTAATCTTTGTCATTATCTCTAGTAAGTTTTACCATTAGATCAATCTTTATATATATATATATATATATATATATATATATATATAAATATAAAGGTTAATACAAATTTTATTATATTAAATTTTATAAAATTGAATTAGATTTAAAATTTATTTTATAATAGAAAAACATAAAGAAGAATGTGAAAAGGGGAAATGAGATGTTCATACAACATCCAAAGTTTAGATATAAAATAAAACAGTCTCCTGCACTCAAAAGGAATAAAATTTCCAAATAAGACTTTAAGATAAATAAATCAAAAGAAAAGGAGTCACTCTACGTCAAATTTGTACAACTTACCAGTAAAAGTTTTACTCATATTTTATACAAGATCAAACATCACTCGTTTACAAATTAGATAATTAAATGTTGAGATGTGCATGCAATTAGCAACGTTTTATGTAAGGGGGAAAACGAAAGAAGAGAAAAATAAAACCAATTGGGATGGGAAGGGTTAATATTTAATATATTACTCCAATGGATAGTTTGTCTTTGTTCTTTTTATTTTATAAGTTTGTGTATGATCTTCTCTTTCTAAAAAAACAAACAACCAAACTATTTTAACAATTTTTTGAGAATAAATTATACGTTATTATTTGATTGATTTGTATATTAAGAACAGAATAATCACTTATTATCACATAAATTATTATAAAAATATTGTAAGAAAAAAAAGTTGTTAAAAAATATTTTTCAAGAACAATATATGAAATGCAGCTTTGGGGAGGTAAATTATTATTCTGTTACAAAATTAAGAAACAGACGGAAGCACTATGTCTTCGTAGCTGACGCGAACTAAGGTTGCAGAGAAAGGAAAATATATAGCAGGAGAATTTTGGGTCAAAATGCAAAATATTATGTTAATGGATACTTTCCAATTCCAAACCATAGTCAAACAAACACACTTAGCTACCTAGCTAGGAACAATATACATTGGATCATTCACATTATCTACATAATTCTAAACTCCTATTTGTTTACATATACAGATTAATCCATTCCAAGGCGTTCATGCAGTGAGTCTCGGGCCCGTAAAACACATCATCATCATACCCATCAACTCCGAACACCCCGAAGAATGCTGGGTCCACCGCTTCCATAGATTGTGATTGTGATTGTGACTGTGACTGTGACTGTGACGAGCTAGAGCTGTTACTCGGAACTCTATCACCACTCTCCAACAGCCTCTGGATCTCCTTCTCCGCCTCAGAAAGTTGATCTTTCAGCTTCAATACCTGAAACCACACAGATTTCATACTCTGTTAGGGGAATATATCTACATATAGACAAATGAGAGGTATTCATCTCAGGCTAATGCCATTTCACGTGGGAACACATGGTACGTGTCTTCTTCGAAAGTGGGCCTCCATCGGAGCCCAACACCAGTTATCCTAATAATACTGTACGGAGCTTATCGAACAAATGGAAGAAACAGTGCCCTTTGTTGTCTACTAAGGTGGCAGTTTGCTGTTCCTTTTGTTAGTGGCTTTTCCTCTTTTGTTTTTATTATTGGATTTTTATTTATTTTTTTCACATGACTTATCTATGGCCGAGAACTCAAGTGTGACTTAGGTTTCTTCGAGCCCAGAGCTCATATGCGCACGTTCATATGGTGGGTCTTAGTTTCCGCTTTCCTCTACTTTCTTTTCTTTGTTTTCTCTTTTGTTTTTTCTTACCCTTACTTTGCCCCGAAGAACCGCTTGCATGCGAAGACTTCTACATCTCTTTCAACATTTTCGATAAATTAAACTACTCCCACAAAATTCCTAAACAAATAAATAAAGAGACGACTTACAGAGTTAAAGAAGGAATATGGGAATAAAAAATTTCTAGGCCAACACAGATGTAACGTGGTGACATGTAACCCGAAATTGACGTTTCTGTTTTCAGAAAAGAAAATGACACACTATCGGTTGGTTGAGTGTAAACTGTGCGGTGCTTCTGTACAAAGTATCGATTGGTGGAAAACAAAGAAATTTCAATTTCAGACTCTCTAGGCAGCGTACTACCTCCACTTCTGCTTTCAGTTTCCACAATATTAGGTCATAAAGTCATACTCTCAGTACAGTTTTTTTTTTTCCGAAAAAGTTTCCTAAGCACAAGAACGAATATGGGCCAATGAAATGGCCCTCTCTTGTTAATTGTGTACGATTTCTTCTTTTAAATATACCTGCGCTCAGAATAAATTTCTAGGAAAACCAAACTCTAGCCTGAAGTTACTGAAAGATATTGAATTTTAGTTTAGTATTAAATAAGAGAGATAGGAAAAAAAAAGAGGTATACCTCGGTCTCCAATCGACATTTCTCGAGCAAGTTGGCTTCGTGGGATTTTTTAAGGTGTGAGTACTCTTCTTCTAGTTTTTTGTTCTTCCAGCGAGCTCTTCTGTTTTGAAACCACACTGCAACTTGTCGAGGGTCCAGACCAAGCTCCAATGCGAGCCTGTCTTTCCTCTCAGACTCAAGTTTATGTTCATTTCCAAAGTTCTGCTCAAGTAGATTAACTTGCTCGGCACTGAGCTTCCTCTTCCTGTTGGCTTCGGAGGCACCGTTCTCTCCTCCTTTGTTCTTCTTACCACGACGGCGTTTTGGCTTCTTACTCTCCCCTGAAAAACAATGACAGACACCAAAAGTTAAAAGTAAGGTCTATGAAGTAACTGAGAACAACGTTTGGGCATGGATTGTAACCTTGTTGAGCAATTATTTGAGTGTATGGTGCATCGGCGGGGTATAACTGAGGGATGAACATCATGTTGTCTTGGAAAGGTCGATGATTCATTGTGGTACGGTGTGTTATGTTGTTCCTAGCAAACTAGCTCGATCGCTCTCCACTGGTTTTGATCTCAAAACCAGTGTCTGTGCGTGTGTGATGTTATTTTCTTCTCCTTAAAAAGAGGATATTGTTTTTAGAGAGACAACATAGCCCTTTCGCATATTTATAGCTAGATGATGCCTGTCCACTTAGTTTGTGTTCAAGGATGTTGAATAATGCATTCTACCAAAATGCCCCAACTTCTGCACATATTCGCAATCACTGCCATTCTGTTTTTACAGTTTATTATTTAATACTTGTCACGACTCAAGCCACACCAGGAAATAAAATACGCACGGACGCATCACAATAGACCATAGGGAAATTATACGTACGACGCATATAATAAGTGGTTTTCATTGTGTATTTACGAATATTTCGTACGAAAAGTTTTAAATTATATATATTAATTTGGTCTACGAATTTAAATGTTAAATAACTTTATACTCTTATGCTGTAGTAATATTTTTTTATAAAAAAATATTTTAAAGTTTTTATTATATACTATAGACACACCAATGACAACTTCACCATAATAATACGAATACACACATTTTATTTGTACGCCACATTTACTGGCACCGTTTAAAAAAGCTACACTTTCCTCCTTATTTGAGTAATTCATCTATGAAGTTGAATTTAAAAGCTTAGTTTGTATAGAAATATAAACTGATCCATTAATGTGTTTTTACATAATTATGTAACATTCTTTTTTTCAAAAGAAGTTCATTTAAATTTGGAAATATTTTTTACGAAATATCGTGGATGTATTTCTTCACCCTGTAAAATATATGGAAAATTATTCTTTGAAAACAGTAACTATCATTTATCAATCCACTCCTATAGAGTAAAATGATCTTAATAAAACTAATTGTTTGTATTTGTAAAGAAAAAAAAATAGAAAGAGAGAGTGAAAGGAAATATGAAATAGTTGTAAAAGGTTGTTTGTGTTAAAGTATGATTGTGGTTTGAAAATTGTGAGTAGAAGTAAGGAAAAGAAGTGTAAAAGATTAAATGTTAAAAAGAAATTATTAAGAAATGGAAAGTGAGGGTTAAGGAAGGAAGGAAGATAATTAATTAGGTGGATAAAGGGATTGTGGAGTGTATGCAAAAAGGTAGAATGGTTTTGTAAAGCTTGTGTTTGTGTATAAAGGGAAGTTGTTTGGACTTTCCAGAATAAGAGATTTACAAAGAAGAGAAGGTCAAAAAAATGATAATGGTGTGTGTGTGAAAAAGAAGAGAAGGAGATGGGCACCAACCAACCTAACAACCCTTTTGGAATAAAGAAAGAGTGATGGGTTGTGATCCCAAAGTTGAGCACCTGGAGCTTAATAAACAATTAAGAGAAGTTAGCCTCTGGATTTGGACATTTAAGCTATTTTTGTTGTCCCCTAATACTAATTAACCTCTCTCTAAATTTCTTCTTAAGCCCATGCGTGGCTCGAGATCACTCACCATTATCACTACCAATTAAACTACTTCTTCTCACTCTGTCTCCCCCTCCCTCTAACCTTCATTTACTTGCGTCATTGTCTACGTACTCATTCCTTCTCCCAATTTCTTCTTCAATCTAACCAAAAACACCTTTATCATACAATTCTTTTCAAAAATTATACATTTGAAACAAATTACAGGATAAATCATATCACCTTAATACCACTTTATTATAATAAATTTATATTAGAATGAAGTAATTTTTATACAAATATTTTAAAGTAATGGGATACAACGAAGTCGTACCACATTGATATTATTTATATTTTCGCAAATCTGTCTATTTTTGTATTTTTTTCAAAAGTGGATGATGTTTTTGCCTTGCTTCATGACCGGTGAGGGAAAATAATTAGAAATAAATGATTTTCTTTATATATTTATAATGAAATTTATGAGAATATTTAATAATTCAATTAAACCTGAAAAGGGAATTAGGATGAGGAGAATATGTTTGTATGCAGATATTTTAATGATTGATCATCGAGTGTGATTATTAATTTTAAAAGTTTAATACGAAAAAACTGAGTTTGAGAGAGAATTAAGGTGATGATAACGACAAAATCGACAAAGATAATGATGGATGACAATACAAAGAAAAGGATTCCCATTTACTATATATGCGTCCTAAAGTTGATGTACTTTTGTTCTCAAACTCATCTCCACAAAGTCATTAAAGACAATGTATCAATCAAGTATATAGCAACATTATACCAGTTCCCACTCAACAATGCAACAACAAAGTGGATAATTAATGTTATTTACCTTTAATATGTTGCAACGGGAGAACCAGGTTGCTGGAGAAGTCACTGCTGTCGATTGCCTGAAGACAGAAAATAGAGGAGAAAATGGGATGAAAAATACACGGCATACATAAATCGAATGAAATTAATCTATATTTTGGTAAGCACGAAATGTTATACTGAAAAAGTACATATTTTATTTTTAATATTCGATAATAATGACTTAATGGTCTATCATATTACTAATATTATATTCTATGACAACTTAACTTATCATTAGAAATTAGCATTGAATATAATCACAGTATTAACAATCACCTATAAAATTCCATAATCAACATTAATCTCATACCATTGTCTAAACCAGATATAATATAAGACTAGTACGTATGCTTTTCCCCAACAATAGCTCTCTAAACCACATACCATAGTTATCATGATTCGAAATTAAGGTCAAACTAAAAGCTTATCACGAGTACATGTTTTATACGAACATCACTTTAACAAATTACCTAACCACAACTTTTGATAGTGTGTTTTACGTAAGTTTGAACATTATATATGTTTTTTCCGTTGATAAAAAGGAAAAACTCCCTTCAACATATATAACAGTACTACCATTAGCCGCTTACATTTCCACCACAATATCATATAATTAAAGCAAGGTCGCTAGCTATCTGTGATCTCTTGTTGGTTAGGAGGTGACATCAAATTGTCCAAGTTTTTTTCACTACCAGGTACAATCTTCTTTCCATGAATGTGTCATATTTGATTGTTGCATTGATCTCTTAGTTATTTTGCAGATATGGTTGTTGTTAGTGTTAGCATTATTTTAAATATAAAATAAATATTATAGCATTTTTCGTTCATTTTTAAGGAACATAAAGTGGTCCATTAAGCCATTTTTTTATGCTTTTAACTGCATAGAGGTTATAGAGCAGTTAATTAATTTTTAACGTAAAGCCCATTTATTTTGAAACCTGTGATGGCCAGACTTTATAAGGGAATGGGTTACTCTCAGTTTTGATCACTAAGCCTACTCCTCTATTCAGAAAAACACACCATCGAGTTGAGTGAGTCAATGTTAGAAACAAAGCTGTCTTGTTTTAGATTTACAAATGCAATGGCAGGAGGTACGCACATTATTCTTCATTTTTTCTTCCGCTGTTTTTTGATCGAATGTGTTACTGTGATGTTATATAACATGTTTAGGTCAATTTCTACTCTGCTATTTTATCATTTGGTATCGAGCGATTTTTCCATCTGCCCTTGTTGGTTCACTCCTTGCTATTGTGTTTTTAATTTTATTAATTGTTTTGAAACTGGAGAAAGAAGAAATTTTCTGTGAAATTTTCTGTGAAATTTTGATGCTAAAACCCTCACATATTATTGGGTTCATGCTTGTTGGAACCATACTGGAGGTTGAAGATGATTGAAACACATTTTGTTTTTGCTTTCATTCTTGGGCATCTTTCAGAAAAATATATTCAGTTTTTATTATTTTTTCTTCTTTATGTTGTACACATCGTGATGAAGGTAGCGCTTGCTTCTGGTATGTCGCTTCTGGTTTTATCCCTTGCATTTGTTTCATTCTGCACAGAACATATAATGTTTTTCTGTTATGCGTGAATCTATAATAATAGACTATATATAATATATAAATATCTAATAATCTATATAATATATAATATATATATAACATTGGGAGGCGTGGATATTACTGTAATGCGTGGCAATATTTACTAAATTTTATATGATTGATAAAGTTGGAATATACTTATTTATAATCTAATTCTTCTATTAGATGAAATCTAAGACCTAAGATAATTTAATGTTTAGTGATAAATATAATTTGTAATAATTAGAGTAGCCACACATCTTTAATTAATTAATTATATTAAAAGATCACATTATGGAACATAAGTGTAATAAGGTAATATAATGTGAAGAAATATACCCACATGATTTTCCTTAACATTTGTATGATTAATTAGGATAAATGTTTATTATAATCTAAAATTTCCCACAGGAATAGGAATGTGATATAATTTAAATGTTTTATCATTAGATTAATGAGTCTAATGAGTAAGACTTTAGCCCACAGGCAAGGTTTTTATGTTAATAGACTTATTGGTAAAGACATGTTTTTACATTGGTACAACAGACATGTAACAAATACACAAATAACTCCTTCTTTAAGATTGTCTGATATAAAATTTATTCTTAAATAATAAAAATATTGTCTGATAACAAATTTAATACATACAAAAAGTTTATTGTAAATATTGTAGTTGGTATTTATAAAAATGATTTGAGTACATACATACATGTGTATAGAAGAGAAACCTTCCTTGATGATTAAGATTCTCTGTTGCAGCGGATGTCTCCAAGGTCAGTGACAAAACCTCTCTGTCATCAGCTTCTTCCTACATCTTATCATGTTCTTCCTGCACCCTACCATTTCCGGAATTTATTTTCCGGAACACAATTCTTTTACGAAAAATGCTTTCCAGAAACTTTTTGATGGGATGGGATAAAAATTTGACGAGGTACAGGAAGTAATTGCAACCAATCTCAGATTTAGTGGACCAGCGTAGTGACGTACTTTTTTATAAGTGGCCCAATCTTACTATATATTGGGTTCTTTTAAGGGTGTTGCTCCTTCCACCACCACCCTATACTTTCTCCACCTCCCCATATTATTTTAAATACAATTATATCCTTAAGTTAAAAAGATTTTTACTTTTATCCTATTTTAAATAATTTGAAACTCTAATTGTACTTTCCCAGCACCTACCCACGGAACTCTCTTTCTCTTTTTCCATTTTCGTTTCACCTCCTCACCTCCCGCACTTCCATTCCTTTTTCTTCCCA